ATCTCACAGCAAAAGGAAAAAACACGTAAGCTTTTATTTTTCATCCACTACTCGATTTTGACCAGCGTTGCTCTCTCCGAATATTTTGATTTTTTTTTGGGCCACCCTACAGTGTTTTCTGTGGCTCTTACTGCTCTTACTAGCCGGAAACCCGATACTCGGATCCTTAGACAGACACCTATCGCAATGGAACCATTTCACAAGGCAATCAAACTGCGTGTGCAATGCAATACCTACTTTTTCTGAAAAGAAACGCAGGGGTCAGACAAGAGATCGCTCATGTCGATGGAGTAGCCCAGACGTTTAACATCGGGGTGCTGCTTACACAACAGCCATCCAACGTGGGCGAAGAAGAACCCGCGCTTGACGTTGGCATGGTCGGCGTCCGTCTCGGGAAACTTGTGGTGCAAACGGTGGATCTTGGCCCAGTAGAAGATTGGGAACTGGTCGGAGGTTTAAAATTACTTAAACCCCTCACTGTTTATATGCAAAATATTTAGGTCATTTGAAATACAAGACATTTTATTGGCAATAAAGCATTCCGGTAGAGCTGAAATGCAGAAGAATGCAGGGAAGGGAACAAGAAAACTGAAGTCAACATGTTAATGAATGGCAATTTCCGATTTCTTCTTCCCCGCATTCTTGTGCATTTCAGCTCTACCGGAATGCTATATTACAAAGCGATGCTCTGCAATATACATTGTGCTTTCCAAAAATTTAAATACTTTGCAACTCCGCAAAGCAATGCTTTCACTGTTTAAAAAAATTTCATTACATTTTAATAACATTTATATGAAGCTATTTTCATTACAATTTCATTACAATGTTACTAAATTTTCATTACAATTGAGTAATGAAACTTTATAACACATGTTATTAAAAATTGACAACTTTCTAAAATAATTTTTGTTCGCTCTAACCCTTATGGCATCAACTCCTTAACCAACTAACTGATTTTACCGGCCGTAACCGTAGCAGTTTACCGTACCTTACCAGGAGTTGAACCCGGAACCCTTGGGTTGGAATACCCTCGCCTTTGACCACTCGGCCACGAGGATTACCTGAGAGTGGTCGAGCTGTAACGTGATCTTATGCCACCACTGGCAGGGGGGAGTTCCCTAACTGTTTAATAAACATGTAATGAAAATTAAATAGCATTGTTATGAAAATGTCATAACATGCACTGAAAAGGGACGTGTAATGAAATTTCAATAGCGTGTAATGAAATTGCCATTAACTTTAATAACATTGTTCTTAAATTAAGAGTGTCATTAAATGTCATGACAAATTTATTAAAATTAATGTTCATTGCGTAATGAAATTTCAAACATTTTTACCAGGGTTATGTACCTTAAAATATTTCTGAACCTTTTCATTTAAGAAGCGGAGTGGGAGCGTCGGCTTACCATCTAAACTTACTTGGAAGCCAATCGTGTTACAAAAGGTGAGGAAGATACGCAGAGGAAGCTTTGCTTTGAACGACCTGTGCGACCACAGCCGATGCGCGCCGATAGCTAGACCCCACACGCTTAGAACATGCAACAGACATGCTGAAAGGCAAAGGTGGAATAAGATAAACGCAAACAAAATTCACGATTTTCGGGGAAAATCGAACTTTCTTCTTTGTTATAATGCTAGATTATAGGTACTTCGTGACTGCCCGGACCGAATCTGAAGTACAGGGAAGAAAACAAGAAGCTGTACGCGATCCCTGAGGGAGCGGGGTGGGTGCCCAGGGAGAGTTGGAACACAGGCGGTGAAGAGTTCGGTCCGGGATCTAGCAGAGTACCATGTTTTCAATAAGGCATGGAAAAATTGTATTTCAAACAATTGTTTTGACATAATCAGCCTGGAGCAAGTTATAATTTCATATACAAACATTTCGGCATGGTAGTTAGTTTCCTGCGTTATCGCGAAGTCTGTTTTACGCAACACGTCTGAGACCGAAAGAGCTTTAACTCCCTTGGAGAGTTTACATCTAACCAAACTTATAACATCGACCAACGACCAACGACCAACGCGAATAAAACAGTGAAGTTATAAAGGCTATGAACCTACCTCATTCTCCTCCTCCCTCTTCAATCCTATGGCGCGCAGCATTTGACCACTGAATTGAACGAACATTACATGAGTCTTGTTCTCACTCTGACGATGCAAGCTATGTTCAGTTCAGAAATTAAATGCTACGCGCTATATGATTGAGGGTAAAAGGTGGAGAATGATGAGTTTCACTTAATATTTGTTTAACCGTATTCATGTCGGTCGATGTTATTAGATTCTAGTGAGGGGAACTACCAGAATTCACCAATAGCCCTCGGTGCAAACCTTTCTATGGAGGCAGTCTCTAACTCAAGTGGTGCCATATAAACTCCGAAACCTCAACCTGTATTCTCGCTGGATGCACTGTTACGTGATTCTCGAGATTCTCAGAAAACAGGACCTTTGGGAGTTCAATTTTTTTTTTGTTTTCTCCCGTTGTCATCGATTTAGAATTAAAGGTGTATTAAGAGCATAGGTAGACGCTAATTTTGCCGTTGGCGCCGGCGCCGGCGCCGCGCCGGTGCGTGAACTTTCCAGGAACATGCCTATCTTCGCCTCCAACTGGACGATGCAGTTCCTTTCGGTATGCACGATTGTAGCCCAACGGTTGGGTCTGTGATTGTCAAAAAAATAGCTAGCTACTCTCAAAAGATGCCGCTAGTGGTTAACCTGGGGGTTTCGAAAATTCCGAAATGGAAGTAGTGGAAAAAAAATCACAATAAACGAAGAAGTTTAAAAACAAATTTCCATTTTTTTCGTATTTCAGCTATGTGCTTTTTGTCGATCACTTTCATTTTGAATTAATTTATTTAAAAAAAAGAAAGAAACAGGTCAAAATACCTCGCGCAATGCACTTAGGACCCTGTCTAAAGTTTAAGGGCTTTGCGCAGTTATTTAGAGTAATCTCACAGCAAAAGGAAAAAACACGTAAGCTTTTATTTTTCATCCACTACTCGATTTTGACCAGCGTTGCTCTCTCCGAA